TGGTGGTAAGGCGCAAGGCAAGATTAGTTGCCAAAGGATATTCACAAGTTGCTGGTATTGATTTTAATGAGACTTATGCATTCATTTCCAAATTCACCACCATTAGGACTATTGTCCTGATTGGGGCAGCAATGGACTTAGAAATATACCAAATGGATGTGAAGACAATATTTTTGAATGAAAAATTAAAAGAAGTAATTTACATGAGCCAGTGTCATATTATGTGTTATCTTGCTTAAGAATGCACCAGACATCTGGCTGTAGAAGATAAAACAATGTTTTGCAAGTATCCAAGTAGTCTAGTGGGTTTCAACCATCTAAATACAAACTATTTCGGATTTCAATGTAAAAGCTTAATCCCAATACAAAGTACTTAGAAACACTATTTTTAATAATTTCAAGATATTATAAGCACAAATTCTTTTGTTATTTGTTAGTTTTTTTTTATTTTTTTATTAGTATTATTCTCTTTTTTAAAAAAAATATATTTTTTAATTTTTTAATTTTTAAACCCGAACCCTAGACAGTGAGCTTTGGCAAGCTATAATTCTCAATCCGACCGTCCGATTGTTGTAAAACTTCTACCACTAGTGTCTTTGTAAGTCTTCTAAATGCTCAAGAAGTTTCAATCCAATCCAACTTACAAATTACAAGAAAACGCCATAAATCCACAATAATGTCCCTTGACCGCCACCTAGAAAGTTGATGACAAACTTTGAATTACAATTTCTCCTTCTTCAATTGTTAATTCTTATTCAAACTTTGTGTGCACCTTTATCTTTAAGTCTTCAACTTATTACGCTAAAATTCACTTTATTCCAGCTAGTAGATCTCTAGATATCATAGAAACCCTAAACAATCCCAATCTGCCAACTTCTGATACCTCTTTACACTAATGATTAAATATCCTCTATCCATACCATTAGATTAATACAAATTTTTGCATGTACTTGGCATACTCAACCATCTAGATATTTCTAAAATTTCAACTGCAGATGTTTCTCTAATTTTACAAAACAATCAAGAGTACTAGCCCTAATTTTATTGTAAAAAATCCAAATCACCAATACAAACACTGACTTTGAACAACGATTGCTAAGTCCTTCCAAATCCTATGAAACTAAATCTTACATCTTTGGAAGGAGCTTGAAGCTAGCTCTCTGATCCCAAATCTCAAACTCCGAATCCCCCCTAATTTATCCTAAGCGGCCATTTTAGTGGCTAGAGGTTTGGTTTTGACCCCGATCTACAAACAGTCATCTCCCGGATATCAATCTTACTTATCTTAGAGGTTTTTTAGTACTTATCTATCCTCAACTTCACCTTATTATCTACCATATTATTTTTTTATTTTATCTACCTTGTTTTTACTAATTTATGGCCTTTCTAAAGTGATAAAATAGTTTCTACAATCTAAAAAGAAAATTTAATGACAAGCTTTTATCTACTAGCTATCAAGACAAGAAAATACTCTAAAAGCTTTTATAAAGCCTTCTTTAATTGTATTGAGCTCTTATCAACCAAGATGACTAAATATTAATAAAATATTTTTTATTTATATTTTCACCATATAGTCGTGTTATAACACGATGCCAGCCTCAAAGATTTGTACAACAAGGCAAAGAATATCTTATGTACAAATTGAAGAAATCCTTGTATGGATTGAAACAATCATCAAGAACATGGACCAATTTCATTGATATTCAACATCATTTCAAGGACCAAGCACATTGATGTTCAACATTATTTCATATGAGAGAAGTTTGAAGATGGAATAATAGGTATGGAGTATTGTGCTACAAATGACATGCTTGTTGATGTGCTTGCAAAGACACTAGTCAAGGATAGACATCACGAGTTGATATAGAGATTAAGATTGAAAGCCTTTTGAAAATTAGCAAAGTAAGAGTATTGAAGATCAGCAAGTACTTGCTTAGAAATTAAACATAGTATGTTGCTAATAGTCAAAAGGCAGCAAAGACTTAAAGGAAGTTACTATGGTAGCACCTACAGTTTAGTTGGATGAAATAGAAATGGATGTAATATCAAAAGGATGGAAGTTGTCTCGTTGGTTAGCAAACCACCACCTATAAGTAAAAGGTGTTGGAAGTAAGAATTATCTTACTCCACACTTCTGTTTGTATACAAATCTTGTTGATGCTAAGTGTTTGTAGCTTTTAGACTTCTTTTCTTCAATAATCAAATCCTAATCAAATATTAATCAAATACTAGTCAAATCTTAATCAAATCCTAATCAAATATTAATCAAATACTAGTCAAATCTTAATCAAATCCTAATCAAATCTTAATCAAATCCTAGTCAAATCCTAATCAAGCCTAAACAAAATCCTAAATCTTAATCAAATTTCAGAAAAAATTTAAATCCTAATCAAATCCTAAACTCTAAATCAATTCTAATCAATTCTTAATCAAATCCTAAATCTTAAATAAACTTTTTAACAAATTCTAAAGAAAATTAAAAATTTAATAACTAATTATTGAATTGTTGACTTTGACTTAAAATTTATACATCTTGCAACAATTAAATTAGCAGCAACTACAAAAACTTTGAAAAAGATTGTACATATCAAATAGACAATAATCTCAAAACTTTACCCGAGGATTGGCCAGCCTCATTTTCCAACCTTGATGTTGATATTTTCAACCCACAATCTCATAATTTCACCATTTAATTTATTCCAAATTTTTTATAATTTTTAAAAATTAAGCTAGCTATCTATGAGCAAAATTTTATTTCAATCCAATTTGCAGATTGACATATATCTTAAAAATCCTTATTAGTCTTCTAAATTCCAATTTTCGAGACCATAATCCACGAAAACGCCGTGCTGTCTGAAGTATCAGAGGTTCACATTGTGCTAGTATGTTGATTCTGTATAGACCGTTTCTTCTGTCTCGATGACCTGCCATAGTAAGTTAGTTATCTTGACTCATTATCCAGCACTGTTTGTTAGAAAATGCCACTATTTTGTCTGGTTTTGCTAGGCATCCTATGGAGATTCTTTTTTTAGACTGGGCACATAAAGAACTTCTTTCAGTTTTATTTTTCCTTCAGCAGTACATAGAGTGGCAATGCCGGTACCTTCTATTACATGTTTCTCTCCCCCTGCTGTTGTAACATTTCCATGATTGCCTGATTCATAGGTTTCTAGAAATTTCTTGCTTCCTGTTACATGTCGAGTCGCTCCAAAGTCGAGATATCAATGTTGACTTTTATCTAGCTCATATATTCGAAATTGCATCTTATATTCGTAAGATCTCCGTGAGTGCAATTTCGATGTCTTCGGCTGCAATAGATGCTTCCTGATGCTCATTGATAAAATTGTTGACGGTGTTTTCTTCCTTTTGTATAGAGTACTTGTAGCGGTAGTGATGTGCTGGATGATTGGGCGAGCCTCATACATAGCATTGAAAATCTGTACGTGAGAAGTTTCGAGATGGCCCTTGCTGCTGGGTACACCATCTAGATGAATTCGTCCTTGACTGCTACGACAATTAGGGCTTTCAGTTTGTGGATTTTAAACTGCTCCGCTTTGTATGTGGATGCTCTTACAGTTGTTGGAAAAGACAACGGCTTCATTCGGCATCAGTTTGTGTTCTACTAAGTGTCATAAACTGTACCTTTTCAGAATCGCTCTCATTTTGAGTTTCCAGACATTGTAATTTGCTGCACCTTTCAGCTTATTGTTTTCACTAATTGTGGTCATTGAAGACCAGTCGTTTGTCATCGTTTACTACTAGGTACATAGGTATAAAGGATGAGCAATCTGTAACTATGAGAATATATCGAAAGAATATCTTCCACCAGTTTTCGCTGCAACTGCCACAAGTTTGCACTCACAAGTATTGCAGATAATCACTAATGTCTATATAGGCAATACCCTCATTGCTAAACTGTGTTTAAGAGATAAACTCTTATGATAAGTGGAGTAAATTTACAGATCTTAAACACATGTGATTTCTAAAGCTTCGGAACTTCGAAGAGTCACTGCCAGTATCGACGATTTTTCTAGTCTATTCATCCATCAAGTTAGTGACAATGTTAACGATTACGGATTTGGCGTAATGTCACTATTGTTATATTTTTTCGTGGTTACAGTATTGTAGTGATCGAAGTGGGTATGGAGTGTGTTTTTCGACAGTTAGCGATGTTTATAGTAATTATTCCAGAGTGTACATGACACATCCTAAACATTTCTAATTTCGAGGTATGTATCGATTTTTCGAATTTTAGCTTGATGGGCTGGGATTAGCTTGCTGAACTGTCGAAGAAGTGGTTGTTATATACATTTGTGACATGAATAATTCGGTAAAGCAAGGAGACTTATAGCATTACCGCCACATTTTCGCCTGCCCGACCGTCGCAACTCAGAAGTGAGTACTGGAAGATTTGCCTGTACATCACATTCCTCATAGGAATTAGCCACATCTGACACCCTGAGCAACTGTTCATCTGTCTGAACTGCTTAAAGATACTAGGGCTTTCGGTAGTCTTCTACCATTTTACTTCTCGGCAGGTAAGATGAGCAGCTTGCAAGGATACGCACATGTGAAAACATTTCCTACAGACATGGCAAGTGAGTGTCATCCTATCAGTGATTAGGTGCAGGGTGAGCAATAAGTATCTCGGAAAGTCAGGTTGCTTATACAAAGAAAAATAATCCAGAGTTTTCAAACAGCCATCAGCAACCAGTCTGTCAGGAATAGCGATGCTAACCTGTCCGCACCAAAATCGGCCAATTAGGTCAAGTCAGCTGGCTTTCGGTACCAATGACAAAATGACGCATGTAATAGCAAGTAGTTGTTGCACAAGAGGTTGCACGTAAGGCCTCAGTTGTCCAATTAGAATTAGGCATTTAGACGTTCTAATCAATGAGGACATAAATTTAACTGATTGTCGTATCACTGACATAGTTTGTAGGTTCCTGTGTAACATTGCCATTAAATGTTCAAGTTTCATGTGAAATCGACAGTTGAGATTAAAGATAATGATACGTAGACAGTCAGATTGTCATTTTACTGATCGATTTCTGTATTTCACAACTGCAAATGGCAGAGATGGGAATTTGAAGCTCAGGCATTTTAATCGGTTTCCTCAAATGGGCTCTATCCACATCAGAAACTCTCAGCAACTAGCTTGATGTCATCACTGCTTCAAAACTAAGAATCTTCCCACCATTTTGAAAGCTACACAAGTGAGTGAGCAGCTTGTACCAATGAGGGGATATCCATGTCGCATCTCTTCATACTTGGAAGGCACAGAATAGCCATCCTGTAATCAGTATATAAGATGCAAAATACATCAGCAATTCCACCTAGAACACTGCTGCGTTGAGAATTTCAAGCGCATAGCCATCAGAAACCAGTTTGTCAGATATGGCAACGCCAGTCTGTCCGCATCAAGGTCGACCGATTTGGTCACATCACCTGGCTACCAGCGAGCTTACGACAAAGACATCTATGTGAGCATTAGTGAAGACTTTAGACAAGTCTTTGCAGCCATGGAACATGATGCCACAGATATCCAAGGAAGACTGGAGGCAGCATTAGATCTGAAGCCCGGCAGGGCGAAAGCTTTACGCGGCCACTGTGAATGTTTAAGAAACAAACCTAGGATTCTATCTTCACAGAACTCATAGCTCAGAGAGGGCAGTTCCGAAGCATATGCAACTATATCACGGTGCTCACATACAATCTGAAAACGTAAGGTCAAAGGCTCAGGTGAGAGACAAACAGAGCACACAATCAAGGGTCCACACCGACCTTTAACCCTAAAAATCCCGGTTGACAGACGCTTCAAACCACTATACCCCATCTCTAGTCACATGGTATATCGAGAAGAGCATGACAGCATGACCACGAACGCAAGGAACCATTGTAACAATATTCCAACGCATTAGGCCTCTCAATGCCAGCCTGCGAGGCAAGGAGGAGGGAATTGTTGGTAAACTTTGGCCCCATCATTAAGACAGCAGAGGTAACCGACACCGAGCTGTCTGAAGAAAGGCGCCGCACATGAAGGAAACAATCAGAAAGATAGTTCAGACCGAGTTAGTGAATAGAAAACTAAGACCACCGATACCACATGTCCAGCAAATAGTCCACCCTTGGCAGAGACAACACAAGAGAATATATCCAAGGCCTGCTTGACGGGGAAGCTAACATAGAAGTAGGCGGTAGGAGGTTGCAGCAAGAGCGCCAAACGTTCGCCCCGTACGTACACAACTACCCAAGAAGGAAGACAGACTGCGGAACTGTGATACTTCACATAGGGATGCGAGGGTTTATATTTTGAGCGAAGCGAAGAAAGCCGTTAACGCCAAAGACGAATGTTCCAGACTTCCCCATGCCCTAAGATCATCCACCGATTTATGACCCGGTCTGGTGGACTGTCATCATCCAAGGTTCATATCTGAATGCACCGTTTTGCAGGTGTCGTTGCATTCGGGACCGAATCGATAAGGTGCCACTTCCAAATTACTCTCGGATCACTGCAAGTGGGTTTCGAGCGTCGTGAACTAAAGAAGTCAACTACTCTAGCGATGCTGTGCTTTTTAAATTCCGTGTAACATAGCAATTCATGTCTTCAAGCTGTAGGATTTTTGGATATTTAGGACAGTAATGAAGGTGGGTTCCCGCTTAATTCAATAGCGCCCCGGTCTTTTCTAGTGCAGAAGACTTGGATATGGTTTGCATCGATCTGGATTTGGATTTTTGTCAATCAAGTTGCTGTGCCAGTCAAGTTAAACATCTGTGTTTTTCCTGATGTCTACCGTCATTGAGACGTTTGCTCGAGCAGGCAGCATTTCCCCTTAATTCGCAATTATCTCTGCTCGTACTTCAAGCTCCAGTGGCCGTCCGGTGCAGTAAGATTACGCCATCTCTATTTCAAGGTTCGTATGTTAGTTACTTTTACCGTGTTTGAAGTAATAATCTATATCAGTTTTGATGAGGCTTCTGCATAAGGTTTGGCAAAATACTTGGAATGGTCGACAATTGCAAGTGATGTTGTATGGCCCAAACTCTGTAATCTTTCACATGCCGAAAATTTGTGCATTTACACTTTAAGAAATACAGCAAGGAAAGTTAACGCATCATCGGATTTTCTTCCATCGAGCTGATTGTTAAATCTCCTTTTTCTTGAATGTGTTGGAAATCCCATCAGTGAAGTAAAAGTAACAGGAACGATTGTCCTTGTTGGTTAAACTCAATCGACATCCTGCTGTGCAATGCCAACAAAATTCATATTTAACACGATGCGGGAGACTCAAGTCTTATGAAGCAGCTTTGTACATCTAATGTGGCTCCTAAACCTTAAACCTCACCTCCCTACATTACAGAACTACATTAAACAACTATGACAATGATATGGTCTAGGTCTAACTCAAAACTCACCAGCCCTGTTACATCTAAAAATGCTGTAAATGATTGCAAGTGCCTACAGGTATATTATACTAGAATGGCCAGAGTAATAACCTTGCGGGGTTACGAAGCGCAAATTTACACGTCAGCGCTGCCGCTGTCATGTCCAGGGAGCTTCTCCTTGATTTTCTCCATCATGCCCTTTTTCGGCAGTGCATTCGGATCACTCACTTCTCCCTGGGCTGTGTTGTGATGTCCGGGCAACTTCTCCTTGATCTTGTTCATGAGTCCGTCCTTCTTGGCACCGTGTATGCGCGCTGCGAACCACACATCATGTCATGAGGCGATTCAAAAACCCACTCCAAGGAAAAACAAATTGAAACTTCGGATTCTACCACTCCAATCAAAAAATCGGTGAGATCCCTCTGCTCAAAATCGAAGTACGCATGTCTGCACAGACAACGACCATGTGCAAGAGAGAAAACACAGGGAGCCTTACATGTATCTTCAGGCCCCCATCCATCTCCACCAGGGACGGTCTCAGTAGCTCTAATCGGCGACCGATCAGAGTCCAACCTTTGTGGATCCACAGCAGCATATGAACTTGTATCGGTTCCTCCTAATTGAGGGTCAGACCCTTCAAGCTCATAAGAGTTTTCCTTCCCACCGACACCAAACTGGGTTTGCTCATCTGTGGCACGGTCATATGCAGTACCTTCCCTCGAATCTCCATAACCAGATTTCGGACCTGGAGGAAGACGTAGAGATCGTAAGTCAGTAACGAGAAATCTGACCATCAAACACACACACACACATTCCTGCGCAACTATAGACTGCTCCATAACAAGGCTCCACATACAAATCTGACTAAGTTATAAGCTGATTCACCGCTCACCTCCAACACCGTTGTCAGTGTCACCATAGCCAGTCAGCCGCTCAGGAGCATCTTGAAAGGTCTCTTCACTCTGGTCGCCATAACCATGCTCCACACCCTGTCTACCATACCCTTCACCTGGAGTGCTCGAAGGCACATCAGGGCGATGATGCCTGTGATCACCATATCCACCTCCAGAAGCAGGATAATCATTCCCCTCCTTGAACCCAAACTCATCCTGATGTGCATTATACGTCGACACCGGCTTCCTCTCTTCACCCATGTACCCAGCCATTCTAACAACGACACTCACTCACTCACTCACACAAAAACCACAACAACAACCTCTCGCTTCTATCAGCAAAATCGAGTCTATCTTCAAACCCGATGAACCCACACACCTGGATTAAAAAAAACTATGTAAGAAACTGAGAATTAGATTGTGAGACATGAAGTTTTCAATAGATATGTCAGAGATAACAGGACACGCACACAAAAGCAGGAGTTTTATACTGCATATTCGGCGCCGTTGCTTGTCTTGTTGGAACTGGAGAATGTGGGATATGTGTGGAGAGATATTCTCAAGCCATGCAGTGTTGACAAGTGTAGTGCATAATCTGAAGCCAAATGGAGGCAAGAGGCATGGATGTGGGCTCAAGGGCCACATGGAGGGAGGGAGGAGCCACATTCCATTGTGTTGCTGCTCTACGTCTCCTTCCCCTCCCTTTTTAGTTCCATGTGAGAGCTGTTCTCTCTTTCACCTCCAAATCTAAATTAAAATTCCACTTTGCATGGACAATTTACTTGGTTGCCAACTCTACAGTTGCAATGCTCTTTGTTGTGTTGTTATCTGACTTTTAGTAGTTTGGTTTGTGCAATGGTGATACAAACCAGTATTTGAAATGAATTTCTTTTACTTGTATCCAACGGCAAGTACAAAAAAATGAAAGAGAGACAAAAATAGCTTGTATTCTAATTTATGATCTTTAGAAATTATTAACCTATGATATAGAGTTTTTTTTGACATTTTGTTACAATGTTGCAAATATTAATAAAGAGTAAAACTCGTTTCCAATCACAAACATTAGTGAGTTTGTTTAGACATAGAAGGCACAAATCATGTCATTAGAGGGTATTTTATACCTAGAAGCCTATTTTGAAAGGTCATTTTTCAAAAGTCTTGTTAAAGTCCCATGCTTGGTAAAAAAAAAAAAAAAAAAGAAAAAAAAAAAAAAATCCATACTTTGAATGCTATAGTTTTTAAATATATTACAAAGTAAGAAAAGGTTAAAAAATAGACCAAATCATGTTTTTATTACAAGTCTAAATATGTCAATCTTTGTCTTGATTCAAACAATTATAAGCAAGAAAAAAAACTAATATTTTTTAATAGTTATTTTGCAAATTCTGATATAACTTTTAATTTTTTTTCTAAAAAACCATTTTTCAGATAGACCCATGAAAATTCTAAAGAAACAACAATATTTATATGACCTAGAAAAAAAATAAAATAAAATAAAATAAAAAAATGCATTCTATTTTATATTTTTGTGTTAGGTCTTTTGGACTTGTTTTGCTAAGATAAAGCCAATTTCAAGAGTCTTCTATATTTCTACCAATCCAAAAATCTGAAAATTAAGACATCTTACTGGAGCTCTTAGGTATAGAGTGTTTCTACATTAATTTATAATAACAAATAAATACATACTTGTCATACAAAAAAGTAAAAGTAAAAAGATATGAATTTATTTGATTTAGTATAATTAAATAAACACACACACACACACACACACACATATATATATATATATATATATAATAGACTATTAAACTAAAATTCTTCTAGTAGTAATTTTTTAGTTTAGAAATAATTTTGATTCAAGTATTTTTATAAAGATTCTATTAGTTTTATTTTTAAAAAAATAGAATTCATAATATTTATAAAATCTTGAGTTTTTTAATATATTGGAACAATAAAAGGTTATATTCATAATAAGAAGAAGCTTATAAAACGTATTATCTACAAATAAGTTGAGAATTCTTACTTTATTTCAATTGAATATTTTATAAAAAATTATCTAAATGTTTGAAATTATCATGACTTATATTAATGCAAGTATCAAATAAGCATGAAGAATGTGCTAATATATTATTTTTTAAAAATAATTAAACTAGCAAAATATAAGCTATAGATAGTTTTTTTATGATTGTATAATTTTCATGCCATGCAATTATTATTATAACTGAATTATTAAAAATTATATACAATAGTATATAATCATTAATAAAACATTATTAATCATATTTTGTTTGATATATTCTATAAGTAGATCTAAAATCAAAATTTGGTACTATATATATACATACATGTGTTTAATTGTACAATAAATAATACATAAGTTTTAGGTTTTATATCTTTCAAATCAATAGCAATCTTAATCTTATACATATTTGATCATAATGATATAATATTCATTTGTACATTGTATAGTATGAATAATAGATATATATATATATATATATAGAGAGAGAGAGAGAGAGAGAGAGAGAGAGAATTTTTTCAATATAAACTACATTTTAATAAAAATAAATAAATAAAGTTAAAGATAAAATGACTTTAAAACTACATGTAAATAAATTTTTGCAGTTATAGCAAACTAATGCTAAAAATAAGAACAAAAAGTAATAAGTATAAAAATTTAAAATTTTATATTATCTTGTATTCTAAATAACATAATTTTAATATAATAATATTTTAAAAATTAATTTTAAAATAATATAATAAAAAAAATTATATCAAATTGATTCAATTAGAAAAAAATTATAGTAAAAAAAGTGTTTATTCAACAAAATTAAATAGTTATATGTCACCTAACTAGATGATATTTTATAATCTTGAATAAATAATCAAGTTTGGTCTTTTAAATATCTATTAAGAGTAGCAATCAATTTTTTTAAAGATGTAAAAAGTTTTTTTGATGTAACTAAACAACTACAATATATAATAGTGAGATAAAAATATTGGAAATTAAAAACTAGTATAGATGTTTGATTCTTTATTTTTAAATATCAAATAGTTGTAAAAAAAACTAAAAGCTTTTGTTGAAGCTAACTATCATGAATAGATCACAAAATGATTTAGCTATTAGAATTATTTTTTAAGATGATGATACTGTATTATATTATTTTAATATTTTATATTTTAGATATAATTAATTAAAAAATATTACCTATTGTAACTTGGTTCAAATTAGATGTGATTAACATATAAAGTTGTTAAAATAAAATAATATTTAAATAATTTAAATGATTATGTTCATTTTTTATAAGATTTTATGAATATATTTTTACTGTCTTAATTTTTCTAAAATAATTAGTTCTTGAAAATTAAAATTCTGAATTGGATTTAGATATAACAATTATTTGGAAGAAATTAAAAAATTATTATATTTTTAAGATAGTACAATATTAAACTTTTGTACAATTTTTATCTAGAGTTGATTTTTTTATGATACAATTTCATTAATTTATTTTAGATTTTTAAATTTTTATTTTCCATCATTACTATTATAATAAAAATAATTAATATATTAACAAATACCCATTCAATTGTAATTTAAAACTTTTGATAATGTAACATTCTTTAAAAAGATTAAAACTAAATGAATACTACATTGCTTGAAATAAAGTTTTAAGCATGCACATATACACACGTATATATATACATATATATATATATATTTAATATCATAATACTAAAAAGAATAACAATTTAATCTATTTATGTATTGATGTTTTAGAATTGTTATCTTAAAGATACAAATAGTTAATAGATATTTACTTCCAAGCATTCATTTTCAAAAACCATATTATAAGGACATCATGAAATTATTATCTTGGTGAGCAAAAGTTGTCCTTTAGAAGCTTTGACTTCTAGAGATTGTACAAAACAAAAAGAGGCTATAACAAGTACCAAATTTATTTCTTTATTGTGATATCAACTCTTCAGTTTTGACAATTATAAAGTATTTAAAATTTGATTATTATTATTTTTTTTTTGTAAAAACCACTTCTTAAAATGGACCTAACATAGATTCCAAGGACAGTACTATTCATGCCACTTTAAAAAAAAATACATTTGACCTCATCTCCTCCTCTCATGAATTCTCGGTTGATTTTCCTAGATATAAAGCCAACCGATAAATACTTCTCAATTTTAACTAATCACAAGCTTTAAAAATTGCACATTGAAAAGCTGTTTTGCAATCTGCACTTCGGTGTTGGCTTTGTAATTGACCCTTGCAAATAATGCTTGTTTAATTTCTTCTCTGGCATTGATGCCTCATGTCACTTGGATTGAATACGCAGTCCCATTCAGTTGTTTGCAGAATTGTTCTGACAAAGTGCTGACCTCAACATGGACATGAAGACTAGAGTCCTCAGATCCGACGATGCTCAAACAAGAAATATTGTATATTATTTCAGGAGGAACAACTGTGACTAGAGACTGAAAAGTCATAAATTTCCAACGGCTTCACAATTAACTGCACCAAGTTCAAACATTGTAGCTGCGTCAGAAGCAAACATCTGCATTACTTCACCACATGTAGGCTTATTCAAAGTAGTATCACATGTATAATTCAAAATTCAGAAGAGCCAGGAATATCGTGCAATAGAACTAATTACAAGTACTAATCCATACCTGAGGTCCCAATCACGTAACCAGTACAATTTACTAACTGAACAGGCAACGTTAGTAGATTCTATATATGAAGGAGTGAGCAAAAGTGAACCTTTCGCTCTCTCAGGAGCCCTGCAGCCAGCAGTGATGCTGTGAGAAGAGACCAACTTTTGTCCACAGGGGACCACAGTTCAGGACGATATACTTGTTTAACACTATTTCGTCATGTGGCACATAGCTCGATACAGATTCGTCGCCTCCAACCGACGCAGGAAGTAGCAGAATATACTGAGTTGAAATTCGTGAAATTGTAGCATCAAAGGTACCAGACATCTTGGCCTACAACGAGGCATTGATTCACTCTGTGTCCTCCCTTTCTATTACAACACGAAACATGTCCATCGAAGGATACCGACAACAATTTATGTGATTATACAACAGACACTAGCATTGGCCTGAACAAGACCCAGAAGAAGGAGCACGAGTGTAAGCTGACAAAACGTAGAAATATATTTAAATTGTTTGCTTACACCGTGCTGAGTCATGTTGAAACACGTTGACAAGCGTGGGTACACAAACCGAAGTATTACAGGAAGTAATTACGCAAAAACGAGAGCCCGCATGCTGGGATCAGAAATATGAGATCGTATGAAGGCTGGAACAACGGAAACGGAATGAGCCAGTACAGCCAGTGCAACCAACATGAACAGATGAGGTAAGGACACAATGCGACAGGTTTTGGATCTCAAAACGCCTAGATACTAAAGTAGTTTGATAAGAAAGAATGCGGTCTAACGAAAACAGTTGAACTATGACAGTGCGTGTTAAACGGTTAACCTCACACTCACTTAATCATGCAACTTGGCTATAAATACATTGACTCCTAAATAACAAAGGGTAGATTGATTAAAGCTTTGAATATGACTAACTTAGAAGGATTTAATAAAACTCCCGTCACGCCAACCTAACATTATGAATGCCATTCTACAAAACTTCCAAACTCCGTTGTGAAGCAAAACTCACGTTTAGAGCAGGTGAACGCGCAAGCTTAAGACCGCTATAACAAGAAATGGAAACAAGAAAACCAAAGAGTATAGCATACAGAACGACCTCGGTGTTTCATTGCATAGAAAAAACAGTCGGTATAGAAGTGAAGTTGAAAATGAGGTTGGGAGGTTGGATGGAACGATGTCAAACTAAATGGCATAAATCCGCAAAGGACTTGACAAAACGTTTCCACCAAAAGCGGCTCATGGCTTAGAGCAACAATGTATCAGAAAGCTAGACAACTGTTTTTTACAAGCACAGTCTATTCAAAGGTGACGACACCTGCAACATACCAAGCGCTTAACAGAGCCCCAGATCTCTACTCCACGTGCGGATTCTCCACGGCACCTTGCTGGTGTTCTTCGGCACGTTTCTTTCTAGACTCCTCTAGTTCCTTCTGGATGAGGTTCTCAAAAGACTCAGGGCCGATTGCTTCAATATACTTAGCCACCGATGAGCGCGTCTCAGGGCTGATGGTTGCCAAAAACTTTCGTTGCGATTCAGTCAGCTTAGCACCGGAGTATCCTGTCACATTTTGGAAGTTGGGGCGCACATACTTCTCGTACAGTATAAACCCCCCGCGGAACTGGGGCAACACTAGCCACGCAGCAACGGCCAACTTGATAGTCGAGTACAGCGGGATCCAGGCGAACACAGGCGCCGCAGCCATCTCCAGAAGGGACACGAACGAGTACAACACCCAGTAGGTAAGCCATTGTTGGTCATCCTCCTTGAAAGGGCTCTCTATAGCCATAACCGAGGCATACAACGGATACAACAGCATTACAATCGGCCCCGCCAAGGCATTGGACTTCAACACTAGCGACCAAAACCACCCCATCTTTGCAACACCCCCAGAAAGCAGCAGCACCCTAAGGCTCCAAATAGCAACAACAAAACAAATCCCAACAGCTGGTGCCTCCTACTGAACCCTCCAGGATCCTTTAAGCTTTGACCTGAAACCACCACCAGGAATCGTGAGTTGTTATTGCAAACCGAGATATGAAAAATGATCGGGGCTGCGGAGAAATTAAGATGGGAGCTCTGATCTGAGATAAGAACTGGCACATGTGTGAGAGCAAGTGAAGGAGCGGGTGACAGGCGTAGAAAATGGGGGTTGATGGAAGAAGTTGAAGAACGTGTGGTATTCTTAGGGAGGTTAGGGTTGGACGTACACCTGGCCAAATCAAGGGCCCGATCGGAGCGAACCACCCATGGTGGCCACACCGCCATCTACCTGTTGTGTCTTAGCACTGCTTTTGCATCTTCTACATCTGGAATGAATCCACTGTTGAATCTTCGGGTTGACTCTCTGCTTCAGAATTAATTTTTAATTTGTGTGAGGTCAAGGACACCGTCGAGTCGATTAGAACCCTGTGCGAATATTTGTGCAACTATTGTAATGCATGCACAATGATTCTAAGTTCGTTTCGGAGCAGTAAGGTGTGCTGCGGGTGTGCATGAGCGAACACCAACCATGGTTTAGGTATTAAAATCTTGGCTATTGCTATAATATGGCGAACCAACCAAGTTTCCGCCCAAAGCTCTAACAAGTTAGAGAGGATGGAAGGGTCAAAATGCAGAGACTGGGCGAGATATCTTTTCAAAGGTGTGTCTGTCAGTGGTGCGTACCATCTAGAATTCTCTGCACTACAATGAGTAGCTAATCTTGAACCTGATGGTTGTCGTATACCGGATGGTTACAACTTCTAAGGATTGTGCAATTTCGATGTGTCAAATTCGTGCAAAACACAGTAAAAGCTTCCGCTCATTGAGTGTACTCCCTAGGTTTGGAAGCAAGTCCATGTGATAAGTTAATATGCAAATATTCTTCAGGTTTCACTTCTAACAAATGATAGTGAACGATAAATATCCCAATAGGAGTTACTGATTGTAGGCAGTCATGCGTGGATTCTGCAACCCAGAGTTTACAGACACTCGATACTACATTGAAGACATAAGATTTACTACTAAAATCAGACTACTTACTGCGCTGTTTTCATTCATCACAACAACAAAACATGGCAACTGACCAAAAAACACCAATGAAATTAAAACCTATGAAAGCTATGGGCTGAGGGAAGGTGCATAATGTTCAGCGAGACTTCACCCTTGGGACAACTAGAAGATCAGCGATAACCATCCGTAGTGCACTAATTTGACCTAAGGAGCAGAAATCAAGGGATTTGTCAACCCCTATTGAAGCAAGTTTAGGCTGAAGCATTGGAGCCCCACATACGAGAACTGAAGTATGCATGTCCATTCAGATTCTATTAGATTCAGTCTCCAACAAAGGCAAAAACATATCAAACAATAGTAAAAGCAATAATGTCATGCACATGAATGAAGCATACATGACAATAGTGAAACACAGCAGCAGCGTTAGTACACCTTAAAAACATGAGATCTGAGGATCCAATTGCACACGAACGAGTTTCAGATAGATCACCAATACCTTATATGAAACCATCCGTCCCATCCTATTTAAATGCAATGGCTGGCCCAACGACACTCAGATACGATATCACAAGCTAAATTTCAAATTCTGGATCTAAACCGAAGAGCAACACAACATGGACAGAGCGTGCATCTGATTCCCTTACATACCAAACAATGCCGCCCGTTCCATTTTCCACGGATTCAATTTACACACGGACCCTAACGCATAGCCAAAGAAAAGTAATGAAGAAGAAAATAAACCTAGAGGCAATATATCAAAAACATCAGGAAACCCATTGACATGCTCAAATGTTAGTACGTAAAATAATATTACAACTGACACTCGGTGTGTCCAAAGAGTTTCACGCGAACGACATTCTCCAGCTGAGGCCATATAAATGAGCTTCCATAATGAACAGGCCATATCTACAAAACACGGCCACGATGTCACTGAACTTAAAATAAGCAACGATTTCTAAAATACTCCAAAAGAGGGAACATCATGAAAAACACAGGATAAGTCCGATTCCTCGCTCCAGTCCTAGCCATCCTCTAATCTGAATCCGAAGAACCAGCAGCTTCACCCTCCTTCTTCTCTACAGTTTCCTCTATCTTGTCCTGTTTAACATCTCCAGTGGCTGATTTCATGAATGCATCGAACGCGGACGACCCGTTCTCCTTGATGAACGCAGCAACCGACGCTTGAGCCTCGGGGCTGATGGAACCCAACCACTTCCGTTGCCCATCTGTAAGTTTCTGATCAGTGACTCCAGTCGCTGCGTTCAAGTAAGGGCTCACGAACTTCTCGTACAGGATAATCCCACCTCGGAACTGGGGCAACACAAGCCACGACGCGATAATAAGCTTGAACGTCGAGTAGAAGGGAATCCACGCGATCACAGGCCCAGCAGCCATCTCCATCAACGACACCAACGAGTACAGCACCCAGTAGGTCAGCCATTGTTGGTCATCCTCCTTGTCGTGGCTCTCGATCGCCATGATGGACGCATACAAGGGATACAACAGCATCATCACAGGTCCTGATAAAGCGTAACTCTGATAAACCACCGTCCACAACCAACCCATCTTGAAAACCCAAGTGCAGCAATCCAACTCCGGGCTTCAAATACGACAGAAATACACAAAGGAAAACAAAAAAGAGAGAGAAAGAGGGCGAAATGCACTACAACCCAGCAAAAAAACTAACAAAGGCAAAACCCAACTCAGATTGGACCAAACTTCCTGTACACTACAACCTACCGCACGAAGCAAAACACAGCGACGACCTAAGAGCAAGATGTCGAAGGCCCCGAGTCGAAACAACTCGGCAAAAGCCCAATCGACCACCTCTGCCACCGATTTCGAGCGGGGATAAACAGGACAAGCGATCGAGCAACAAAACTGGGAGACGGAGCTCGCTAAGGACCTCAGAACGGCGAAGAGCGGGGAAGACGAGCGGCCATGGGCGGCGATTTGACGAATCTGACCTAGGTGGCACAGTAAATACGTCTGGGTGGCATATGCGACGGTCGACGGCATGACACGTCACTTTCAAGAATCTACCTTATTGGGGGACCATGTATTGACCCTTGGATCATGACGTCATTTCCATCCACGTCACGTCTTGCAGTCGACGTCTCCAGGATTCGAACTCTGGTTGGGCAATAATAAACCCCCATCACCGAGATTCCATAAATGGAGAGCAATGGAGCCATGCATTTCCCAGTTCGCCACAGTCATGGTAAGTAATTCAGTCCCCTTACTCTCTGGCCCCACAAGGTCGGTGATGAATGAAAGACGTTCCGTTCCCATTTTCTGCATTTTCATTCATCCATACCTCCGTGGATTCTTGCGTTACTCCACTAATACAAATAAGCTTAGTTTTATTTGCCAATTTCATTCTTCATTTACTTATTTCCATGCAATTATTCTCAGAATGTTACAAGGGAAGTTGACTCTGATTCCCTTAATATTTCTCCTTGAACACGATCCGTATCTAAAATAAGCAGAAAAAAAAAAAACAAAAACAAAAACAAAAACAAAAAATGGAATGTTGAAATTCACACATAATATACGACATGCAGAAAGGCCTTACAAATAAAAAAATTCATGTACCATGAAAGCATCTTATAATGGTCTCTTTGCCCTGGCAGAATGAAACAAGGAGTTTCATTGTGTTGTTCATGGTGAAGGTCACGAGGATTTTAGGGTACTTAAATAAACCCTAGTAATTGTTTATTTTAATAGTACAATGCTTCTTTGTTCATACAACTATCAATTTATTTATTTATTATACTATACTAGTGTATTTAATAAGTTTTATTTCCATTTACTCAGTTTTGTCTTTCATGTCTTATTTTATTTAGTTCTGTTTAGTTTTATTTTAGATTATTTTGTCCTATTTTGTGATGATCTTTAAGTTGCTATGGATTAGAAGGATCTTGGATTTTTTTTGAGATAGATTAGTCTTATTTCATTGATATCAGAGCGAGTGTTAGATTGTTTACTTTTAGTAGTATGTCAATACTCATCATTTAGTCTAAGGTAATTGTTATGATCACATTGAGTATTGTGTTGAGCCTACCACAAGCTACTTTTAAAAAGTCAACCAAGTAGTGAAAAGGTATTAAAATAGTAGAGTATAGCAAAGAAATTATAATATAAGAGATATGGTAGAGCAATCCCAAATAGAAGCTCAAATACAATACCTCTTAGGCCAAATAGCTACTTTGCAAGAGCAAATAGAAGCCTCAAGGACAATAAAGTTGATATTTACTAGATTCAAATTGAGTAAGCTTAGTACATACTTCAAGACTTCAAAACAAGAAGATGTATGTCAATGGATCTTCAACATGTGACAATACTTCCAACTATATGGGGCAAATACCATTGAAAAAAAATATATATGAAGCCAATTATTTGAGAGATATGGCAGACATTCGGTGGCAACTTTGAGTTCAAAGCTATAGAGCTCAAGGTAGATTTTGTAACTAGGAGGAGTTTAAGACTAAGCTTAGGAATCAATTTTGGCCCATCAATGTAGAGAAGATAGTATGTGATCATTTGAAAAATCTTACACAAGTTGAGTTGGTGCAAGATTATGTTTCTTGATTCAAGTTTCTATGTTTTGAAATCGACAATATTTTAGAGGCGAAGATGATGGATCAATTTCTACAAGAAATGGAGCTTAGGGATCTACAAACATTTGAAGAGGCAATTTGAATAGTAGAGAAAGTCGACGCTATAGATTTTAGAAATCATAGAGCGTAACCTATAATACGAAGTCTTATGTCGCTATCTAATTACTATGGCACAACAACCAATGCCAATGGAGATTAATGCCCTACAATGATCATAGATACCACAAAGATGATAAATATTGGTACAAAAGGAATTATATTTCTATTGTCAAGAGCCATGCCATCAGATTGGAGGTTGTCCAAAACCTCAAAATTCAAGCATCAGCAAGACAAGGTGGGTTCATAGCCTAAAATCCACTAAATCGATAAGGAGTCACAACAATAAAACAAGGCTTTCTAATAAAGGCACTAGGAGCCAATACTGAAAGTAACTACTATCTCTTAAAGACAAATGGTATAGCATCAAAAAACTATAAAATAGTGGATTGGTGCATCTAACAAGACTATTAAGAAAAAAAAACCATGTCAAGTGCTTATAGATAATGACTCTACAAAAAATTACATCTGAATTGAAATCGTCGAACGACTTGGAATTAAAATTAAAAAAATTAAAAGAAGAAATATATACCTTGTGGATGACCAAGAAAAAATATTGAGTGAGATGTGTGAAAAAAAATCTTAAGATTGAAAAATAATTATGTCATAAGAGAGAGATTCAAGGTGAAAAAATTAAAGCATGATGTTATCTTTGGTATGCAATGGCTAAAAATAGAAAATAAGTAGGTTGATTGGATAGCAAGGATAATTTCTTTTAAAGATAGAAGACACAAGATGATTCTTTATACTTCCACATCAAGTGAAGAGAAAAGACAATTTGCAATCAAAGACTTACTTGTAGGAATGACTTTTATAAAGAGGGAAATACAACATGAACAACCAATATATATGGTGGTTTCAAACCTTGCATTAGTAGTAGAAAAAATAGTTGAAAAGATAGAATAGATAGAGCAACTCATATGGAAAAAATAGGATGTCTTTTCAATCGACCTACCTAGTGGCATGCTTCTTGATCAAGGTGACTTTCAAATAGAAATATTTTTTGAAGCCAAACTAGTAAGACAACCAATTTATTGCCTAGCACCAAAAGAACTTGAAGAGCTACAAAAGACATTAGACAAGCTCTTTAAAAAAGGCCTCATTTGAGAAAGCACATCACCATGAAGAGCACTTGTATTCTTTCCATCCAAGAAAGATGGTGGACTTTACTTTTGCATTGACTATCAAGGCTTCAATAAGTAGATTATTAAAAATGCATATCTTTTTCCACGCATAGTTGATCTTCTTGACCAACTTTGAGGTGCAATCATCTTTAGTAAATTGGATCTTTAGAGCAGCTATTGAAAAACACATGTTACAGAAAAGGATGCAAAAAAGATGATATTTTGTATGCACTATGGACATTTGGAATAGTTGATTTCATCTTTTGGCCTCACCAATGCTCCAACCTCTGTCATGGATTACATGAATAGATTTTTTGGAGACCTTTTCGACAAGTATGTAATTTTTTTCATTGATGATATCCTCATATATAATAAAATTCTTGGAGAGTATGAGCAACTCCTACAAAAAGTATTGTGTTGGCTACAAGATAGTTGCATCTATTGCAAGCAATCAAAATATAAACTTTGGAAGTTGAAAGTCACATTTTTGGGGCATTGGATGTCTTCTAAAGAGGTGCGTATGGAATAAGATAAAGTAAAAGTAATAGAAGATTGGCCAACCTCCAAGGATGCTTATGAAGTTTGCTCATTTTTATGCCTTGCTAGATACTATCATCGTTTTGTTTGGCAATTTGTTCACATTGCTACCTCGTTGACACACTTCTTTGAAAAAGGTGTCATATTTAAATGAAAACTAGAGCATTAAAGAACCTTTGATAAATTAAAGGAGATACTCATTATTACTCCAATATTAGAATTTTATGGTTCTAATCTTTTTTATATGCATGACATTAATGCTTTCGACTTTACTATTGGAACAGTCTTTCAACAAGACTTTAATAGGGACCTTCAACTTGTGGCATATAAATCATGCAAGCTCAAAAGGATTGAATACAATTACTTTGCACGTGATTAAGAGTAATTAGCAACTGTACATGCCACAAAGATGTGGCGACACTATCTATTGGAAAAATAAGTGGTTGTTTGGATTGACTATAGAACCTAACTATATGATTTACGTCTAGAAAATATGAAATTGGAGCATTATCATTGAAAAGAATGATTGCATCTTTTTGATATCTAGCTTGAATATAAGCAAGGATAATAATATATTATATCAAATAACTTATTATAGAAATTGGACTTCAAAGATAAATTAAGAGACAAGTTAGAAGTTACTACTATATCACAGACACAGAAATACAAACTCGAGATCTAACAAGAAATTCAAGAAGAACTGACAACAACTAGATTAATCAGATGAATACAAAAACAACACCAGAGAGGTGAGCTAGAGCTCCAAGAAGTGTGTTGTCGAGACTGAAGAACTCTTCAGCCTCGATTCCAATATATACTCCTATTTAGGAAGCTTCTTAAGCAACTTCTACCAACTAGGAAGCTTCTAGAAGGTTCTAGAGACTTGCTTCTAGAAGGTTCTAGTGACTTGCTTCTAGAAGGTTCTAGAAACTTGCCTCTACAAGGTTCTAAGAACTATGTCCCTAACAACACCCCCTCCTTTAGCTTCGAGGTCTCTGAGAAGCAATGTTGTTGTTAATCAATACCAATGTAAGAAAATGAAGATCTGTTGCATAACGTCTGCTATGAACTGCAACTATTGTTCACGAGGCAAGTGGTTCATTGGCCCTTGAATCCAACGATAGTAACTCACGCCTTTGATTTCTGACCAAGCATGAACTTTCGTGTCCTCGTTGTGAAATTGTCTTACAAACACGCCTTCTAGTTGACCATCGTAAGCAGGCTCGAACTCAAATACAATCACCAATGATCGGTTATTCGGTATCCTCCGTCGTCGTCATGGTGTAGGCAATTCTTCATCTCGGTGTCGCCTTCATGAGCTAGTTGGTTGACATAATCTGATTGGCATAGTATCTATCTCTTGGCTATCTGTATCAGAAGACCAAACTATGCCTACTGAAAAAATTCTACTTTATCTTGAAGAAAATAACTACATAAACCTCGAATTTTGGTGGTGCCCTCTTCCTTTCTTATATTCTTGGGTGAGCAAGCTTCAGAAGGAAGCTATCATCGAACCGACTTAGGTTTATGAGGATGTTGTTGATGAAACTCTTGTACCTTTTGCGGCGCATTG